TTTTTTTTTTTTTTTTTTTTTCTTTCTTTCTTTCTCTCTATCTACCACCTTGAAGTTCAGCCTCTAAAGCCTTCTTAAACCCTAATCATGGACATTGCTTATAGTGCATCCTCACGTGGATGAAGAGGTCATCCTAAACCTTGCGAACCTCTAGATACTCTTCCTCGAATCTCTTCACTATACGTGTAGCCATTGGACATTACATACGTTGCTCCGCATGCCCTCTATGGTTTGGTTCGTCACATGCACGACCATTTCCATAATTTTATTAGATTTACTAATTCTTTCTAATTTCATTTAGAGAAAAACATTTTAAATAGGCGGAGAGACATTATAATCATTTTTGCACTTTTGCCAAATTAGAAAAACCAATTTATGGTTAATCAATGAACTAAAGTTAAGAAAATGAATGAAAGAAGAAGAGTAATACCCTAATTTTGTACCATTTAAAAACAAACAACACCAGATAAATAGTAATAATTACTCTATATATTAAAAGGAGAAGGCGGATGATACAAAATCATCATCTCTCCAAACCCTTCAAACAACCAAACATGCCTCTCATTTCTATATTCGTCCACCTTTTCCTCTTCTCCTCTCTAGCAACCACCAATGGTGGCCGTGGGGATGGTTTCACCACCTCTCTCTTCCACCGCGATACCCTTTTCCCTACTCTCCACCTTCCATCTCCCTCCCGCTACGAACGCCTCACTAATGCCTTCCGCCGCTCCTTCTCTCGTTACGCAACCCTTCTCGACCATTCCACCACCGTCTCCACCACAGGCATCCACACCCCACTCATTCCCAACAATGAAGAAGGAGAGTATGTAATGTCCATTGCGGACACTGGAAGCGACCTAACATGGACCCAATGCATGCCATGTCTCAATTGCTTCAACCAATCAACTCCTCTTTTCAATCCACGTAATTCCTCTTCCTACCGCCCCGTACCTTGCACGTCCACTGCATGCCGCTCCATCAGCATTTTCCCCTGCATGCCCCACCATCCATCTTGTACCTACAACTACAACTACGCAGACCAATCCTTCACTAACGGTGACCTTGCATTTGAAAAACTCACCATTGGGTCCTTCAAACTCCACAACACAATCATTGGATGCGGTCACCAGAACGGTGGCGCCTTCAAAGGACGTACCTCAGGAATCATCGGACTCGGCACGGGTTCTATCTCTTTAGTCTCTCAAATGAGAAAGATTGCCAATCTCAAAAGACGCTTCTCATACTGCTTACCCACCTTCTTCAGTGATTCAAATGTCACTGGTAGAATAAACTTCGGCCGAAAAGCCGTCGTTTCAGGGCGTAAAGTCATTTCTACCCCTCTAATGTCGAAATTTCCTTCTCCCTTCCATTTCTTGACACTAGAAGCAATCTCTATTGCAAACAAGCGATTGGAAGCCACTAACAACGTGTCGAGTGCTTTAGAACGAGGAAATATTATTATTGATTCGGGTACAACATTAACGTTTTTGCCTCAATATTTGTACAACGCCGTCATTTCGACTTTGGCTAGTGTTGTTCGAGCGAAACGAGTGGAAGATCCATCAGGGATTCTTGAATTGTGCTACGTTGCGGCCAAAGTTGATGATTTGGATATTCCAATTATTACGGCACATTTTTCTGGTGGTGCTGCTGTGAAGTTGTTACCGTTGAACACGTTTGTGACCGTGGCTGATAATGTGACTTGTTTGAGTTTTAAGTCATCTTTTGATGATAATTTGAACATTTTTGGGAACTTGGCACAAGTCAACATTTTGATTGGATATGATCTAGAGCGAAAGAGATTATCGTTCAAACATAAAGTCTGTGCTTAGAGGCGACATGTCATCCGACTATCCGAAGAATTAAGGGCGCTACCAATGGACAAGAACAAATGATTTGCTCTAAATTATCTTCCACATATTGTAACAAATTTCGTTTCAATACTTGTAAAATTTGTTTCAAAATAAAGATGCCATAAATTTTAACACCAAGAAAATAGTGCAATAAATCTATATCTTACCTCTCAAATTCACTCCGACTTAAATTTATTCACAAAAGAGTTGAAAGAGTTGGTATAAATGATATCATTAACATAAATGCAGATAATGATCAAATCACTTTTACCTTCCTTCTTCATATACAAAAGTAGATTTTATATTCTCAATTCTCGTGTATCATTTTTCTTTAAAATACCCATCAATCTTGTTGTACCAAGCTCAAGGAGTCTGTTTTAATCCATATATTCATTTCTCAGCTTGTATACCACTCTTTGCATTTCTTTTATGAATCCCTCTGATTGTGCTTCATAGACTTTGTTCTTGTAGTTTTAAAGTAATAGTTCTTATAGTTTCAAAGGAATAGTTCTTATAGTTTCGAAGTGAGCTATCCGAGTGAAAGTTTCTTGAAAATCTATACCTTGTTATTGCACATACCCTTTGGCCACAAAATGAGCTTTAGGCTTCTATATGCTTCTGTCTGCGGCAAATTTTGGGTTGAACTTTCAAGTTATTTCCATTTGGTAAATCAACCATGTTCCATGTTTCGTCCTTCTTAATTATCTGCATCTCTTTTACCATGACTTTCTATCCCTCTTCTTTTTTAGTTGCTTCAGTTATAGGATTTGAAATAGTAATAGAAAATTGACAAGATGCAAGTATGTCACTAAAAGTTTATACTTCATTCCTTACCTGTGTCTCATCTGAAGATTTTTCAAGGGTAGATTTGTTGTTTGGTGATGCTGAAGTTAATGAATTTAACAAATTTTACGTGGTAGTAGAACACTAGAGGATGCACTAGAGTTACTCTTTTTTTTACGTAGAGAAGCTTCAATTATAATCTCTTTGCTCCTCTTATTCTTTACCCTAATTCCTACTTACATCTTCATTAAATATTACATCTCATTGAATCAAAATCTTTTCAATACTATTTATATGCTCTTATATGAGTATGATAACAAATGAAAATGCATTTCTCAAATTTGTTTTTTATCAAGTTTTTAACGAATTTGAGAATTTATCAAAAGTATAATCAACACGACTAAAGACTCGTACTTACAGATGGTTTTCTTCCACATCCAAAGACTCTCAACACCCGTCACACGTATAAAGACAATCAAAAGGGAGACCTAATTGGACAGATGTCACCAAAAACATGTCGCATGGAGGAGAGGACAAAGCTGACACCATCTCCTCCGATAGGCTCATTAGATTCTCAAATGCTACCATTTACAATTGAATACTCCAAAGTTATTTCCTTATTCCATCTCAACAAATTATTGTGTCAAATAATTGATTGATATTTTTTTGTGTATTCAAATTGTTTCAACAATTGTAAAAACCATACTTCATTAGAAGCCATAAATAATATTCACGAGGAAGGATTTATTATTCACCACGTCATTATTTGTTGTTCCCCGCACAATTTATTCTTTCGACAATGGAGAGAGCACATGTAATCTCTAAGCACAAACACCATGCTTAAACGACAATCTCTTTCACTCCAAATCATATCCCATTAAAAAGTTGAGTTGTCCCGCGTTCTCAAAAATGCCTGAATTATCATCGGACGATGACTTAAAACTCAAACAAGTCACATTATCAGCCATTGTCACAAACGTGTTCAACGGTTACAACTTCACGGTGGCACCACCAAAAAAATGTGTGGTAATGAGTGAAATATCCAAATCATCAACTTTGGCAGCAATGTAGCACAATTCAAGAATTCCTGATGGATCCTCCACTCAGTTCGCTCGAACAATACAGGTCAAAGTCGAAATGACGGCGTTATACAAATTTTGAGGTAAAAATGTCAATGTTGTACCTGAATCAATAATAATATTTCCTCGTTCTAAAGCACTCGACACGTTGTTAGCGGCTTCCAATCGCTTGTTTGCAATGGAGATTGCCTCAAGTGTCAAGAAATAGAAGGTAAAAGGAGATTTTGACACTAGTGGGGTAGAAACGACTTTATGCCCTAAAACAACGGCGTTTCGGCCGAAGTTTATTCTACCTAAGACGTGGATTGAAAAGAGGACTTGATTGGTTGAAGTATTTGATACATGACATGCATTGAGTCCACGTTAGTCGCTTCTGGTGTCCGCAATGGCGATGAAATTCATCGGTGGGGTTCCGACTAGAGATGGACATTGCAATCTCCATCGTTAATGCTAGAAACGAGTGGGGGCTGTGTTAGCGAGGACGTTGGGTCCCAAGTGGATTGTGAGAATCGCACGTTGGTTAGGGAGGAGAAAGAAACACTTTTTTATAAGGGTGTGGAAATCTTTTCCTCCCCGGATCCGAAAGCACAAAATCCTAATGCTATGTTTAATGAAATTGTTGAAGTTTTTAGATATTTATAATTTTAAAAGTTTATATAGAGCAATGAGATTAAGAAGGAAGGCAATTGAATTGGGAAAAAGAGTTGTTTAAAGCCATGACTAGCATGTTCTTGGTGAGGCTCAAGAACTTTCGCCCTCTTGTGGACGGAACCTCCCGGCTCGCTCAAATTGCAAGGGAATCCGACATTATATTCACACCATTGTCGCTCAAGTTAACAACCTCCCGGCCTTCCCCTCGCTTCATTGCAACGCTGCAAATATTCCACCAGTGCTTCACCGTCTACTCCGTCAATATCGATCACTGTTCCAGGATTTCCCTCGAATCATTACACGATGCTTTGTTGGATTGCGGATCTTCTTCTGCAATGACCATTCATCTTCTTGAAAACACAAACCTAATGGTCCTTAGATTTGAAACTCCAAGTTAGTATATCATAAGAAACATCAATCTTTTTTTATGTCGTGTTCTTGATCTTTTCCCTTCCTCCTTGTTAGATCATGAGCCACAACTCCGTCATGATTTTGTATTGTTACCCCCTCAAGAACAGTCTATAGAAGAAATTGAATATTCAAAATCTTTAGCACTTGATTCGCGAGATTTACGACAAGTTATAAAAGAACTACCGCTCTTCCACGGTGATTCAGGTCATGTCTCTTTTCTTTTCAATTTTATATTTACTTTGTCATATCCCACGTTAGTTGGGGAGTAGAACAAAACACTCTATTTACAAGAGGTGTTTTAAAAATCTTCGAAAGTAGAAGCTCAAAGAGGACAATATGTGTGAGTTTCCACAATCCCACTGGTTGAGGAGGAGAACGAAACACCCTCTATAAGGGTGTAGAAACTTTTTCCTAGCATATGGGTTTTAAAAACCCTGAGGGGAATCCCGAAAGTGAAACACCCTATTTACGAGACGTGTTTTAAAAATCTTGAGGGGGAGTTCGAAAATAAAAGCTCAAAGAGGACAATATGTGTGAGATCCCACAATCCCACAATCCCACATTAGTTGAGGAGGAGAACGAGACACCCTTTATAAGAGTGTGTTTTGAAAACCTTGAGAGAAAGCCTAAAAATGACAAGGGTCTCGGCCGCTACAAATGGTGGCTCTTCCTCCGAAAGGGTGGATTTGGTGAGGTCCCACATCGATTGAAGAAACGAACGAGACTGAGTTTTAAAAACTTTGAGAGAAATACCAAAGAGAACAATATCTTCTAGGAGTGGGTTACAATATGTGCTAAAGTTTGTGTGTTTGTGGCAGTTTGTGTTACGGTAACGAGTTCACGAGTGAGGTTCTCTATTGCATCAAGAGAGTTAATTTTTAAGAAAGAGGTATGATATTAGAAGGTTTGAAAGTTTATATTTGATTGATGGGGTAAAGTTGTATGTTTGATTGTGTTGAACAGAAAGGGCGATGTGAAATTCTGGGTCATGATGGAGATGCTGTGACTGAATTTCGAATCGTTCTGTATCCTATGCTGTTTTTCCTTAATTTGACGTATGATGTACAGACAGTATGGTTTCATAAGACAATAACCAATACTCACGATGTCATGATTTTTCCAGTTTTTGAAATTTTTGCTCAATATGTCATCTATTTTCCCCGAATGTGACATGTGCCAAACTTTGGTGACCCAAATTCTTGATATTCTTTTTCTTTTTCTCAATCATATTCAATAAACTCAAATACCTACGGAATTAAATATATATATATATACCAAAATTAATGGATATATAAAACGTTCAAAACTAGTCAAATCTCATGCACATAATCGTTCAATACTTATGCAACATCTCAAGCCTAGTGTTAGTAGTATTGTCCGCTTTGGCCTATTACGTATTGCTGTCATTCCCAAGATTTTAAAATATGTCTATTAAGGAAAGGTTTTCATACCCTTATAAGGTTCCAATCAATGAGGGATCTCACAATCTACGTTCTTTGGGGGACCAACGTTCTCGCTGGCATATACTACTCGGTATCTAGCTCTGATACTATTTGTAACCGTTAAACCCTACTACTAGTTGATATTTTTCGCTTTAGCTTGTTACGTATCGTCGTTAGCCTCACGATTTTAAAACGCGTCTATTGGGGAGAGGTTTTCACGCCCTTGTAAAAAATATTTTGTTCATCTCTCCCATCAATGTGGGATCTCATAACAAGTAAAACTAGAACATAATGATCAAATCTCTATGAGCACATATATGTGATTGCGACAATAACATATCATAAATGAGTGATACAATTCTTATGTCCATAGATAGGTATTTATCTCATGGACACATCACACTCTCCAATTTAATTTTCATGCACACAAATAAACAATTATTACAATTTTCGTTTACAAGTATGTGCACAACATTAAACATATCAACATCAACTTACATATGCATATATATCTAACCATTGAAAAGTATTGAAAAGAGTAGGAACTCAATAGAGTATGATTAAGGGAGAAAACACCTTACCTCACGCTAAGCAATAGGCTAACATCACTCAGTTGTGGTTCAAAGGGCTTGGACTTCTAGACTCTTATCTTGTTAAATTGTACTGCATCCTCAGTTGTGGTTCGGTTGTCCACCGCTTTTATAGTGAAGTTTAATTTGGCACTTAGATCCACCACTTCTGCCTTGATCATGTTGAAGGCTACTCTCAAATCTTTAGACAATTATGAGACCATATGCACGATAGTTTGTTGGACATTGTTTAAGCCCTCAACGTGCTCTTCCATCTTGAGAATAAAGTTCGTTGAGTTATCATTACACTCAAAGCGACTAGCAATTGTGGCCTTGTCTTCGAGGGCCTTGACCATAATTATTAATTCATGAACAGGCATTGCCTCAAAGTGGTTTGTTATCTCATTGATCATGTCGGCTTTAGCAGCAATCTCATTCATGCGACTCCAAAAGCTCCATTATGTCAGAAACTTCACTTATGCAAAGAAACAACTCTTCGATTTCAGTAATTAGTCAGTTTGAGACTTGTCCAATTATATTGCAATAGCATTAGAAGCGTTCATATGAACCGAAAATTCAATTGAGTTAAAAAAAATGAACTAAATTTGTAAACATTTTTATGGTAACCAACTCGAAAATGAATTATAATTCAATAGATCTTATAAGCAAGTATAGAAGGAGGTTATTATATTTGATTATCTCTACTCCCGCCATTTCTTGTATCTCCCCAAGGCTCTTTCAAGATGTTAACGTTCCAGGTTCTTGGATTAGGTCTTCTCAGGAACTCCATTTCCTCACTTCTCACCCTTTCTAACTCCGCTGAATTCAAATGCTCTCCGCAATCCATATCCCTCACTGTTTCCTACACTCAAAAATTCTATAATTTCATATCAGTCCTCCGAATTTTCGACCGCTTCTTCACCATTTTCTCCTTCGGTCTCAATGCCAACGCCAATGCCGATATCGATGCCGATTATGCTTTCGAGATTCAACTTTCCGATTTCTTTCGCCACATCCCCGACGAAGATTCTCACTTGGTCGTCCTTATTCCCAAATCCTGCACATCCCTCAACGTCCTCTCGGCAACGAGTATGTTCACGTTTTCTTATTCCCTAAGAATCTTGATTATTCATTATTGAAGAACACAAAATTCAAGAATCCAAGAGGGGTTTATTTTTTTGTTTCAAGAACACTATTGATTTATGATATTATTAGCAATTACAACTTTTCAAAATGGTATGATATTATCTACGGTGACTGTAAGCTTTTTATGGCTTTGATTTGTACTTTCCCAAAAGACCTCGTATCAATAGATATATATTTCTTACTTATAAACTTATGATCACATGCAACTTCCTCCCAACACTCCTCCATAACATTCTTATGGAAAAACACAAAATTCAATAATCGAAGAGGGGTTTTTTTTTTTTTTTTCAAGAATACTATTGATTTATTCAAATTTCCCAATTTCGTGATTCTAATTGTTGATATTGAGTTTTAGGGTCTGGAAACTTCCGATCCTTGACTTCGTTGGTAGCGACACCTTCCGAAAATGAGGAAGTTGGCCAATTTGACCTCAAATTGTTCGTGGCAATTGAGGCAGAAAAGTTTAGAAAGATCGTTACAACACTAGCGGAAGACGGCGATCCAGGTAATAGAAATCACTATTCTCCACAATGGTATGATATGATCCCCTTTGAGCATAAGCTCTGATGAATTTTGTTTTTGAATCTTGTGATCTACAACAGTTTTAGGGACGGCATCGACTTCGAGTGTTCGGTTTTGTGCAAAAAGAAGAAAAACAGGGAAGACTGGTGAGTTAGTTGTAAGTGCAAAGAGAAGAGAGTGCTTGGCGGGAGGGTTCGATGACAGAGTTGATGAAATAAGGTTTTCATTTACACCAACTCCGAAGGAATTTTTCGTGGGAGCATCGGAATCGGCCAAGTTTGTTTGGTTCTTTGGATCCACAGATTGGCCAACCACAGTAATTTGCTTTACCACACAATGGACCAATCTTCTGGCTTGTTATCCTATATCTGCTTCTAGTTTTCTCTTGCATTCTTTTGCTCTCAACAAAATTTCATGAACCAAAATCATGAATTCTAGTTTACATACTATTTTTCTCTTTCAATTTTACACTTTCATGCTTCCACATAAACTTGGTACGTCTTGAATTAAGATAAATTAGAGTCTGTTTCGAAACCGAGATGAAAAAAACAATCAAAGGGAGGTTGAAGGTACAAAAATAACTCAATTCCTTAAAATGCACCAACTTCCAAAATTACTCTAAGATCGACCTACTAAAATTACAAAGACCCATTCCTTAAAATGTTCACCAATCTTGAATAGAATTGAAACCTAAAAATCTATAGAACGAATCCAACGCTCCTCTACCTATTCAAGAAACAGTTTCTTGTGGAGGACTCTCGATCAAATTTAGTTTCCTCTCACCCGATTGAAACGTTTTTCCCTTTGAGACTCACAACTTTTGATATAGACAAATTCTCCATCATTAAATGGAAAAAATCGAGAAAATGTATACGACTCTGAGATGTAGATGTAGCAGTATTCTACTAAATATTTTTAATATAGACAAATTCTCTCTTCTCCTAAATTGATCTCTTTCTTCTTCGATTATTCATTTAAGTGTACTTCAATTAAGAGTCAAAACGAACCGTCTTAATTTGTTAATCTCCCATTGTAAGCGATGTACGATCAAAATGCATCCTCTTTTGAGAAAGAACAACAGCGTGTGGCGGAGGACTATCAATTTGATAGATACTCCGAGGGAAATTGGCTACATTCAGGCGAAATTGAGCACAGTTTCTTCCCTCTAAAACTGATTCAAATGGCTTCAAACTCATCCTCTAAACGTCTGTCAATGAGAGATTTCCACATTCTTATAAGAGATATTTCGTTCTCCTCATTAACCAATTGAGATCTCAAAATTCACCTCCTTGAGAGCCTACTGTCTAGTGTCTAGCTCTGATATCGTCCTCTTTGAGCTTTCACTTTTGAGATTCTTAGAACGTGTCTGCTAGAAAAAAATTTTCACACCCTTATAAATAATGTTTCGTTTCCCTCTACAACTTGGATACCACACGGGCAGAAGTTATAATAATTTGATATACCAAGCAAACATACCTTTTTTCTCTTGAATTTTGATAATTGTAGTTGTTTATGATTCAGGAAACAGGAGACGGGTGGCAGTATAAAAATGGGCTAATCATCGCATCAATGGTTGAAAACATAAGAAACTTGAAACTGAAAGGCATTAGCATGCTAGACTTGAGGCTGGACGACACCGCTAGTCTTATGAATGCAACCTTCATCTTGGTTCGATGGCATGAGACAGCCGATATGAAATGCACCCCAACGATGTTCTCTTTAATAGCCTCTTGCCATTTCCCTTGCATCATTACATCTCTCCAAATTATGCCTCCATTCTTCAACCATTTTCAATGCAACCAAATTTACCAATTCCAAATTCCCGTCAAACTCTTTCACGACACAATGAAGGCTATGAAACGCATCTTATATACTTCAATCACTCTCTCTCTTCGGAATTCCCTAAATCAAATGCTCCTTCAATTCCACAATTCAAGTAAGCAAAATTGAATCTTTGTTACAATTTTCATAATTTCTTTTGATTTCAAGAACACCCTTGTTCGTCTTTCTTGCAAATTCTTTAAAGCTGATACCCATTTAACTTCAAGGGATTGGGGAAGAACAGGTTCGTCAATTGTCATTGCTACCTTCAAGAGAGAAGGATGTGGGCGAAATTGATTATGGAATCTTTGTCTCAATTGATTCGGAAGTGTTTGAACGCATTGCAACAGATTTGAATGATTCCAATGGTGACATATAACTTAAATTCTTCTTCCTTCTATCCTATTACTTCAAACGAATAATTTATTGGAAGTTTATGGTTGTTTTTGTCTCATCAGCTCTCGTTACTCTAACCAATTCACAAGTCAAGTTCTCTGTGGAAGCCAAGGAGATTAGTCTCGTAGAAGAGGTAGGTATATTGTAGAACCTGTTTGAAATCAAGACCCTAAATTAGCTATGGTGAGACTTCCTCCTATTAATTCTCAACAATCCTCTCTCTCGTGAACAAAGTACACTATAGATCCTCCCGTGAGTTTATGAAGCCCTCGAACCAAGTACACTATTTGTTCGATACTTGAGTCACTTTTGACTACACATTCGAGACTCACAACTTTTTTGTTTGACATTTGATGATTCTATTGTTATTGTCTACTTTGAGTGTAAGGTCTCATAACTTTGCTTTAAGCTTCTCTTAAAGGCCACATATCAACGGAGATGTATCCTTACTTGTAAACTTATGATTATTTTCTAAATTAGCCAACTTATAAACTTGAGTCACTTTTGATTACACCTTCGAGACTCACAACTTTTTTGTTTGACATTTGATGATTCTATTGTTATTGTCTACTTTGAGTGTAAGGTCTCATAACTTTGCTTTAAGCTTCCCTTAAAGGCTACATATCAACGGAGATGTATCATTACTTATAAACTTATGATTATTTCCTAAATTAGCCAACATAGGACTCACTCCCTCGTTCACTTTTGTTAGTATGTTTCTTGATTTGGTTTGTATTTGTGCAGAGAAGAGAGTGCATGATTGGAGGCCTTTCAAGAAGCCAAGAAATTCGATTCTTTGTTTCTCTCAATCCCATAATTTTTTTTCGGGATTTGGCACGTCGATCGAAAAGGATATGGTTGTTCAAGTCAGCTAAGGCTTACAGTATAATCATTGCTCCTATTGGATTGTATGCACAATTTTGTGTCTATTTTTCCCGAAGAGGGTGATGTATGGAAATTAAATTTTGGGTTTTTTTTTTTATATGAAGATCATCTTAAGAACAACAATAAATTTTTTTGGTTAATTCTATTTGAGTATCAATTGAGTATGAATATAGGCATAACATGTGAACCAATTGACAAGCCATGACAACTCAATCTTAAGAGAAGTAATGATGTGACTATCAGAAGGTTGTTGAGAGGAATTTCACATTGGCTCATTAAGGGTTTTTCATAAGCTTATAAGCAAATGATACTATTTCTTTAATATGAGACCCTTTGAGGAACTAAAAGCAAAAACAAGAAAAATTTATGTTCAAATGGGACAATACCATATTATTGTAGAGGTTTGTAATTTATAATATGGTGATCTAATGAGCTCACATTCTTGTAAGATAAATCTGAGAGAGTTCTTGAAGATCGATGTCGAGATTGTAATTGCCATCACGAGCGGAGAAGATGGTGAAGAATGGATGGAACATTTGGAGCATCGGAGATTAGCAATGTTAGAAAGGGGAAGAAGTTGGACGATGGAGCTCCTCAGTTCACCCAATCCAAGAATCTGAAGCGTAAACATGGTGGGAGAGACTGAACCAGAAATGGCGGGGAGGTTCAAACTTCAACCACGTTTCACCTCGTTTTATATGTACAAACAAACACGTGCGTTGCACGGAATCTTGTAATTTTAATTTACACCTAAAATAGTTTCATTTTTTTAAAGCAATATTTATGAAAATTGTATTTATTTTTCCTTATTACTCGGAAATATTTTAATTATTAATCAAATTAAAAAATAAAATATTAATAGTTAATTTTAAATAATATAAAATAAGTCTAACCTATTTTAAAACTGAAAAACCAAATAAAAATTGACGTAAGGATTACTTTGAAGAAATTTTATAAAATAAAGAAGACTAATTATTTGGCATTTTATTATGTATGAAAATTATTTTTTATACAAGAAAAGTGTATCCAATAAATGAAGGAAATTCATTTGACAACTAATGTTTAAAAATTAGAAATTACCCATCTCAATTTACATCATACGTTCCATATTTACATGTGTTGTTGCATTAATTTCTATCTTATTTTTATTAATATTATGTTTAATTAGGTTCATGAAAATATCAATAAATTAAAAATTCAAATTTACAATTTTGAAATTATCAATCTCAGTCCATCCAATCTACAAAGCTAACATTATTATCTCTATATGTATTTTAATGAGTTTAAAATATATTTATATTAAGCATGGACAGGAACGGGTAGAGTGGAGAATTGGGCTAGGACGGAGAATATAATCCTGTCACCAACTCCATTTATCTAACAAGAAAAAAAAGCGATTTTATATGCACATTTGACGAATGTTATTCAAAATACACCATCTTGAAATGACAACCGTAATGTTATTTAATGGGTACAAAATGCACATTTGACGAATGTTATTAAAAAAAAAAAAAAAAAAAGGCTAAAAAAGCTAGATTATACAGCCGTGAAATGACGAAATTTTAATCAATGATACAGAGAAAAAATATGGAGAATGAAAGAATGAACATATTGGTAATATACTTATATGCACATTTGACTGCCATTCTAATAGCTTCGTCCAATTCTATTTGGGGGAGAGAAGGAAAGTAAAAGACTTCGTCTAAAGTTGTTCCCAGCGATCTTGTGGGTTACTGGCCACAATGTTGGTCCAATACCCAGTCTCGAATACCACTAAAGTGTTCTTCTCAGTTGACCCATAGAAATACACCATCTTGTCAAGCTGTGATGCTCGGATGAAAAATTGCAACGGCACCACACTCACTTCAAATCGGACTCCACCTCCCAATGTTCCTCCAACTCTGCACCGGTTCCCCTGCATCCAAGGTTTGCTTTCATTGGTCATTACAATGTAGTATGATATATTTGATCATCTTTTGGTATTCTTGACCAAATCTTCATTTCTAGGCTCCTAAATTAGTTCCTAAAAGATTTAAGTCTATAGATCTTCATATATTAGATCATTTATTTGCATTCTAAACACTCAATTTATGAGCTTGGAAACCATGGTATGGTTGAACAAGAGACTATCGATGTTAATCAAGAAAGAAATAACATACGAAAAGTTCAAACATAGAACATGGGTCCATTTGGCCTAAAATGTAACAAGTGATTATCAATATCGAAGAAAGAAAGTACGCAATAAAAATTTGAACACATGATTGTTGAGGATTGTCGGGAGTAAGTCTCACATTACCTAATTTAGGGAATAATCATGGGTTTATAAGTAAAGAATATATCTCCATTGGTACGAGGCTTTTGGGAGAAACCCAAAGTAAATCCATAAGAGCTTATGCTCAAAGTGGACAATACCATATCATTGTAGAAAGTCGTGATTCCTAACAGTCATGTCCTTAACTTAGCCATGTTAATATTATCCTCAAGTGTTAAACAAAGGGTGTACTTTGTTCGAGAACTCCAGGGAAGGAGTCAGACCTCGATTAAGAGGAGGCTCTATAGTGTACTTTGTTTGAGGGGAGGATTGTTGAGGATTGTCGAGAGGGAGTCCCCACATGGGCTAATTTAGGGAATAATAAGGAATACATCTCCATTGGTATGTGACCCTTTGGTGGGAAGCCCAAAGCAAAGCCATGAGAGCTTATGCTCAAAGTGTACAATATCATATCATTGTGAAAAATTGTAATTCAAAGTCATGAGAGCTTATGCTTAAAGTGTACAATATCATATCATTGTGAAAAGTCGTGATTCCTAACATGGTATCAGAGTCATGCCCTTAATTTATCCATGTCAATAGAATCCTCCAGTGTCGAACAAAGGGTGTACTTTGTTCGAGGACTCCAGGGAAGGTGTCGAGGCTCGATTAAAGGGAGTCTGTTCGAGGGCTCCATTGACCTCGGAGAAGGCTCTATAATGTACTTTGTTCGAGGAGAGGATTATTGAGGATTGTCGAGAGGGATCCCCACATGAGATAATTTAGGAAATGATAAGGAATATATCTCGTGGCCTTTTGGGGAAGCCCAAAATAAAGCCATAGGAGCTTATACTCAAAGTGTACAATATCATATCTAAGAGTTAGTGATCCAAAAAAAAAATGAAGAAAAATACTATATATGCCTAATCGTTTCTTTATATTCTTAAGAAAAGCCCATGAAAGGAATGGTTTCAATTCAGACACTTGAAAAGTTTCCTCAACTACCAAGGGATAAATATAGTGTACCTCAACAGGAATCACAAAATCCATCTCTGCAGCACAGAATTTCACTTCTGAATCCTTTGCAGTAACCGAGACTGTTCCAGAAGACAAGCTTTCATAAACTTACAAGAAGATAAGCAAATAAACGTAAAACTCCCTAAGGGTAGAAGAAGTTGATTTACTTTTAGTACTGAAGGCAGATAATCTTGTTGCAACGTCTCTGAACCATTCTGCGTTAACGGCCACAAATATTCCGCCGGCCATTGAGGCCACTTGAATATTTAGGGGAGGTCCCATCTGCATTGGAGAGCAATATTCCAAATGCCCAACGCCTGAAATCAATACCAACAATTACGACCTAGACTCAAGAAAGACGAAGAAACGGAAATCCACACAATCTTGCAATTGGCAGGTTTAACCAAATCTAATTGAATTGGAACTTTAGGGCTTTTGTTTACAATCAATCCAATTCCTACACGAGATCCATTCCGAAGCACAATCGAAGAAAAACAAAACCCTAAAAATAAACGCGATTGTAATTTCCCCTGAATCTCGAAATTACAAACAAGAAATCGCAGATTCATCAAGAAAAAATAGAAGAATGAGAACCGTACATGTGGTGAAAACGAGATTAGAGAAGGTATGATCATCGGGCATGAAAATGGTCAAGAGGCGATCGTCGGTGCCGGTAATGAAGGTGGCTAAGAATAAACTGTCGATCTGAATACAGGAATGGAACTCTCGAGGGTGATTGGAGGACAAGAGGATGAAGAAAGGGTGAAATACCTCAAGGCGTGCGAAAATGAGAGAGGAGTTGTGGGAGCCAGCGACAGTGAAGGAGACGGTTGAGCGGGAGAATCTGAAATCGGCGTGGTGAGAAATTTGGAGGAGTGGAAGAAGATTGTTCTTCAAAACTTCCACTTCTGCAACCTGGATCGTAAGCATGGTGATACAGAGAGAGGGAAAATGGCGGGAAAGGAGAAAATTTGAAGGAACGTTAGCAACAATACAACCACACCTATATATATTTATTTATAATAAAATATCAAATAGAATATATATATATATATATATATATATATATAGAGTATACCATAATTTAGTATTAAAATATTCTTAACATTTAACTTAAATGAAGAGAATAATTTAATTTTTATTAATGTAATTATATTTCTGAATCTCCACCCCTCGTTTTTTTAAAAATAAAATTTCTAATATTACGAGAACACGTAGTATATTAGTGGGGCATTAAGAGAGTGGACCATTGATATCTAAATTGGTTGGCTTGACTTTTCTAGCTCATGTGAAATGACAACTTTGCCCCTCAGTCTTCCGTACGTTTTGAAGGCTTACTTTTGACTATTTGCAGTGTTTGACGTTTCTACATTCCAATCCTATCTGGTTTTACTTTTAAATTTTAAAAAATTAAAAATGTTTTAAATGTCAATGTTCATATCGTAATTTTACGAAAATATAAATAAAATTTGATGGTTTTCAAATAATTATAAACATAACAAAGTACAAAATTCTAAAATTAACCAAATAACTCAAGATCAATTAATAATAGAATTTATTCAAAATAAAATAAATTAAGAGAATGTTATCCTAAGTTTATATAAATAAATAATATTTTTTTTAGTTCTAGTAATTATTTCTGAATTAATTAACTTTAAATAATTAGTTAGGGTTAGTTAGTTATTTTTATTAAATCAAAGCACTAAAATAATTATAACCCATTAAACTTTGATTTAATTTTCAATATCATAATTAAATTTGAAGTGGTTGAGTTTATTTATACTTTTAATCGTAAATAATTAATACGATAATTGATCAAAGGTCAGACTTATTCTAAAATATATCTTTTCAATTTAATGTCATCTTCCTTATCCCTTTTATAAGCCCTAACAAAAACACAAATGATCAAAGGAAAGTAGAGGCATTTTAACGTGATTTTGGGTTTAAATCACAATTTAAACCCCACCCTTTATTTTTCTCTTCCGTTTCAACTCTCCCTTCTATCATTTCAAACCATATTTCTCTCTCCCTCTCTACAATTCTTAGTTCATACAATGAAAACTCGGCCACAAATCTTCTCCTCAAGATCATGGCGTTCCTCCGACAACAACCATCCTACCTTCAGAACCACCATGGTTCTTATCTTCTCCTTCTTCCTCCTCCTCCTCGGCTTATTCGTGCGCATCGGATGGGTTAAATCGGTTTGTTCTCAATCAAACTATGCTCTAACTTGTTGATTTATTCCAGTAATTCAAATATTTTTATACCTAATCTCTTCTAAATCTAACCAAAATGGACTCACTATTTTATTAAATTTCATTACTATTATTATTGTTGTTATTTCTGTCCGCAGCCCATATATTGGAGGGGGAAAGGGATGGCAGAGCACAGGTCAAATCTGTACCGTCCATCTAATGCCACTTGCCCGCCGCACTTCCGTTGGATCCATGAAGATCTACGGCCATGGAGAAACAAGGGGATCACTAAGAAAATGGTGGAAGGGGCCCGCAAAACGGCCAATTTCAAGGTCATAATCGTGGACGGTCGGGTGTATGTGGAGAAATATAAAGACTCAATCCAGACCAGAGATCTGTTCACCATGTGGGGGATTTTGCAACTTGCAAGATGGTACCCTGGGAAATTGCCAGATCTTGAACTCATGTTTGACTGTGGTGATCGGCCAGTCGTCCGATCTAAAGACTTTAGTGGTCCATTGGCGGACCCACCTCCATTGTTTCGCTACTGCTCTGATGACTCCAATTTGGACATTGTTTTTCCTGATTGGTCCTTCTGGGGATGGTAATTATTTTCTTTTTTCCCATACTCAATTAAACGAAGGGTAAATGAATGATTCGAGACCACATTTAAATGATAATGATCCGACCATATTGTTTGACGATTTTGGAAGGGGTGAAATAAACATAAAGCCATGGAGAAAGGTATTGGAGGACATAAAGGAAGGGAACAAACGAACCAAATGGAAGGAGAGGGTGCCCTTTGCTTATTGGAAGGGGAACCCACATGTTGATCCCTCTAGGAGAGACCTTCTCAAATGCAATCTCACCCAACATCAAAATTGGGACACTCTTTTATATTCTCAGGTAATTTCCTATTTCTATTTTCATTTTATATAACCAATTTGTTTACGTTATCCCATCATTTTGTTCGAAGGATTGGGATAAAGAGTCGAAAGAAGGGTACAAACAATCAAATTTAGAAGATCAATGTACGCATAGGTATAAGATTTACATAGAAGGATGGGCGTGGTCGGTGAGCGAGAAGTACATAATGTCGTGCGATTCAATGACGTTGTACGTAAAGCCAAGGTTCTTTGATTTCTTCATTAGGGGAATGCTTCCTTTGCAGCACTTTTGGCCTATTAATGATCGATCCAAATGTTCTTCTCTCAAATTTGCTGTGGAATGGGGTAACAATCACACAAGTCAGGTATTCAAACGTAGAATTTTAATTTCTACCAAAAGAAAATGAGCTATATCAACATTTAATTACAGGCACAAGCAATAGGAGAGGACGGGAGCAAGTACTTGCATGAGAATCTTAAGATGGAATTAGTATATGATTACATGTTCCACTTACTCAACGAATACAGCAAGCTTCTCAAATTTCGGCCATCGATTCCTGCTGGTGCGGTAGAGCTGAGGCCTGAGAAGATGATCGGCGCCGCCAAAGGGTTGCACAAGAAATTTATGGAAGATTCACTGGAGAAATCTCGGAACGAGTTTGAGCCGTGTAATTTGGCGCCTAATGATCCAACCGTCCTGAGAGAGTTTCAATACAAGAAATTAAATGCCCTAAAGAGAGTTGAAAATTGGGAAAATGAGAGGAAGGGAAATTAAAATAAATAATATGTATTTACATTACTAGTGTACTTTTTTAATGATACCAAAATCAAATAGGTGAAGATGTAAATTGGATATTGCTCGTTTATAATTTTGAATTAGATACCTAACATATCACACTTTAATGAGAGAATTATCAGTCATCAAATAAGTTTTTGGTATCATATATCGAGATAATTATTATGAAAAAGTTATTCCACGGAATAGAAAACGGACTCTAAAAAGTGTCAAAACTACTACATGGATTAAGTCGGAGAGCTCTGTTAAGAAAATGAGTGATAGTTGCCTATTGCATAATGAAGAAAATTCCTATGAATATGGAGAAATTGCTTGGCATGTGGAAGGACCAACGAAAAGTTTGTGTATGGTTGATAGATAGTCTACGTGCGACTATAGATGTAGATATCAGAGAAAATGTGACCACACTAGAAGTATACAATCACATAATTTATTTGACTTCTATTCGAATACGATATCTCGACTTATGTGAATTTTCTCATGTTGTAGATCATACCGTTCATGTGCCTTGGTCCCATATTCTACGCTAAAATATACCATCTTTTGGCTTCTGTCATCAAGCTTTTTGATATATGATTTTGCTATCTTAGCATGTTTTGTACAACAAAAGACTATTAGATGCTCGAAGTGAAGTGGTGTCGTACTGAACCATGTTTCGTAGGGGGTATGAGTATCCATAGCTTTTATCTGTAAACAATATGGAGAAAATCGTCAGGACTTGGATGCTCTTGTGTAAACTTCTAGTAGTGTTCATTATGATGCAGTTTCTTCGCTTAACCAAGCTGTTTTGTTGTGGAGTGTACGATGCGGTGAGGTGATGCTTGATACCTTCCTCTTTGCAAAACTTTGAGAAGTTCTAAGGTAAGAACTCGCCATCTCGATCAGTGTGCAAGATTTTCAGCTTGTGATCAGACCCGTTTTCATCAAAGTGTTTTGAACTTCTTGAACGCATATATTAGGGGTGTACATGGTCCGGGTTAGGTCGGGTTTGAGGATTATTTCGACTCATCCCAAAAGTTCGGGTTGGTTGGATTGGTAACCCAACCCAACCTGAAACTTTTCACGACCCAACCCAACCTGAAACTTTTCACGACCCAACCCAACCCTCTATTTTTGGGTTGGGTTGGCAAAAGTCGAACGTGAGTGTCCTTGAACTAAACTCAATACCACTATGGCAAACCCATTAATACATTAGTATTCTTAATATATTTTTTATATTTGTATTTGTCTCGGGTCCCCGAAGGTTTTACCCATGAACCCGAAACCGAACTGATTCAGTTTGGGTTCAGAAAAATGAACCCAACCCCGGGTTGGGTTGGTTCGGGTTGTCGGGTTGAATGTTCACCCCTAGCATATATTGTCTCCCTTTTTTTCTCCAAGCATGTACACTCACATCAAACGACTATAATTATCATTGCCATAAACCAACAAGTAAAAGACCCGTTCTCTTGGAGCGATAGTGACAAACAAGTAGATGTAAAATAAGAGAATATACATATATATTTTTTTTTTACTTCTCCAAAGAGAAAATGATAATAATGAAAAATTAAATTACCATAATAATGAATTTGAGATTGAAATAAATAAAAGTCATTATCCTTTAACTTTTTTTATAATTTAATTAAAAAATAGGCTTTAATGTTAAAAAAAAATTAAAACAAAATATTTCATATCTTAAAACATTTTTTCTTTAAAAAAAATAGCTTTTGAAAAGTATTATTTTTTAGTTTTCAAAATTTGAATTAGTTTACTTAGATAACAAACAATAAAAAAAATCAAATTATTTTTAAATAAGACACAATATTAATTATTTTTATTTTCACTTTACTCTTTCAATTTAAGTTGAAGGGTAGTTGGATTATCATTACTCTTTGAAATTCATGCAACATTCTTACGAGTAAATAGATGATTTAAAGACGGATCGAATTACTTGTTAAAAAGTTATTTAACTTTAACATTACAAAACAAAAAAAAAAAAAAAAAAAATCTCCATGTGTGTTAAGAGGGGCATGAATAAATGGGACGGTTGAAGTCAACGTTGGTCGACGGACTCTTATTATTATTATTATTAATTT